ATTTCAATTTCTGTAATTCTTGAAATGTAATTATCTATTTTTTCTTGACTCCCTCCAATTCTGTTAATTTTTCCAATTAGTTTTTGTGGAAATTCTTCTCTAAGGAGAGACTTAATTCTATCTTTTCTTTCTTGTATACCAGCTTTGAGTCTTACTTGACTATGCTCAAGGTTAGATATATATTCTTCTATCTTTTTAAATCTTTTTTATCATAGCTCAATTAGGATCACGTGTATGTTATATTTTTAGCTCTTATAGCCTATATATTTTCTGATTTGTTAATAAAAAATTCTGTGCCCCCAGAAGTTGTCCAGTTTTAAGTAGGTGTATATACTCTATTTTTATCAGACACATGTTTGTTTACTTCTAGACCTACATGGTGTATATTGTATAACCTAGAGGATCTGCGATACCAGAGGTTTGCAAATTCCCACTTTTTGTCATTTAGAAGTTTTTCCAAGAAGTATTAGCCTAGAACTTTAGTAGTTTTTGTTTGTTCTTTTTGAAACTTTTTCTGAAGGTGTATGCAATGGTGCTTTAGCTTTTGTATTAATGCCTGTTGAGCCGTTGTTATACTTGTTTTTGAAAAAGCTATGAGACTAATGTGTTTTCGATTTTTTGTTTATTTTGGAAATTAGGATCTATGGGAAGAGTTGAAGTGAGCAAGCATAAACTTGATGAAATACTGTTGTCACTATCTGAACTATTTTTAATAGTATTTTTAGCCTTTGAAAATTGGTGTTGACTGTATACATATTTTAAATACTGCTATTGTTTTTAAATTAGATATTTTGATATATAAAATTAATTTATGTTATGAAGGTACAATTTTTGCATGAAGTATACAATTTTTTTACATCATATTTTTTTTTAATTGATAGCTTTTATTCTGTTCTTTTCAATAATAACCTTTGTTTTACAGATTTTAATATTGTTTATGTTCTATTTAATTAAGTAAAATTCACTTACATTGTTAAAGAAATTAACTACTCATAAATAGAATAAATCGAAAAAATGATATTATTACAAGATTTAATATGAATCATTATGTCTTCTACAAAAAACTAAACTGGAATTATTATGTTAGTTCTTGAGAAAACTGTACTGAAAGTTACTATTACCTGCAGTAAATTCAGATTTTTATAAAAAATTTTTACATAGTGATTTTCATATGTACCCTGACTATAGTTTGATTTAATTAGTTTGATGATCACCCCAGTTGCCCAGGGATAAAAGAGCTAAAACTCCTTAAACTGATAAAAGAGGTATAGGAGTTTTAATAGTAATAGGAGTGAAAGGAGACATAGGGAATTAATGGGTTTTAGTAGTTTTAGGATATTCAGGACATTAAAGTATTAAAGTATGTTTAAGTATTATAAGTAGCAAAAGAGTTATGTAAAACATAGTGCTGTAATATGTATATAATAAGAGCGAATTCACTCATAATAAAAAAATAGCTCTTGATAGTTCGCTTTTATAAACTGAGCTCTTTATTAAATAAATCCTACTACCTAACCTATACTTTCCTTAAATACTCTACCCCCGATACTCTACTAAGTGGCATAGTAGAGTTATCTTTGCGAAACCCATCGATTAAACCATGATTACCGTACCCCCCGAAGTGATAATTGACCATCCCTTAGTAGTAAGAAAGGCGACCTATATATATATTTAAGAAATTATTGGTTTAAAGATATTGTTTTTTTTTTTTTTTTTTTTTTATTAAAATTACCCAGATACACATTTGACAATGACTGTCAGAGTCAATATATTAAAAATTGTTATTATAAATTCGAATTTACAGTTTAAATCTATCTTTATTTCTATATTTTTTTTTTTTATTTCGAACTTGTTTCGATTAGCCAATCAGATTTTGTATCATCATCAAATGATCTACAAAAATTAGCTATGTTATTTATGCCTAGAGGTCGGAACCGAATTATGAAATTCAACTTCAACTTCGGGTTAAACCGGTTTAAATAGTAAATCGTTTTGTAATGTTCTAATTCGGTTGTAACCCTCCGACAAACCGGTTTTTAAATTAGCATTCGGTTTTATTTATTTTCTATCAAATTTCGAAATTACGTGTTAATAACAATATCCAATGTAACAAAAAAAATAATTTCAGGTTTTTCTTTTCGGCAAAAGATTTATCCGACGATTCGAGTTAAATTCGGTTTAAGCCAGTCCGGTTTAACATAAATCGGTTTTTTTCCGACCTCTATTTATGCCGTTTATGCCAATCACCCATGTGATTCGTGCCACGTTAGGGTTCCGGTTTGGTTCGGACATAAGATTCGGAGCTCACAATAACTGTCAATCAGATAACGGATACAGTATCCTATCTGATGTCAGATAACGGATATCTTTTCAAGGGAACAAATCCGAGTCAGATAGGATTCGGATATTCGGATCGTATCACTAAAGCAGGGTAGAAAATGGTAATCCCTAGCTGAACTTTAGTTACTGATCACGTTATATCACGTTACGCCATATATTGCATTCTAATTGGCAAATTGGTATAAATCGATATTTTTCATAAATCACGTGCTAATTTTTACGGATTTTTACTATATATAAAAAGAAGATCCATTGTTTAAAATTTACAGTATTTCAATTGCGGATCTCAATAAATTCAATTTGCGATTAAAATCCATCTCAAAGATAAAAATGTTAAAACTTAAACAAGATACAAATAATGAATTTAAGAAAAGGCTTTTATTTTTTGAAAAGTTATCTGATCTAATTACATGGACTCCAGGCAATGATGATATTAATGTTTCTCGAGTAACACTTAAACAACGACCTGACTGGAAAAGAACAAATTCTGTAAATGAACAAAATAAAAGGGATTTAAGAATTAATGTTATCGATGATAACTTTGAAGGTAAAAAATAGTAATTCATTAATAAAATAAAATTTTTTAGTAATCTTTTTTTAAAATAAATATTGATAATATTAATTATAGAATTCCATAATTACCTTAAATTTGGTCAATATTGTATCCAATATTGGCAATTCGTGGATTCATTTGTTTAGTATATTTCTAAATTCCTATTATTTCATAAAATCTTTTTTTTTTTTTTCTTAATCATTATTATTATACATAATTATTCTTATATATAATTTATAAAGTTTTTCTCATCATCGTGTCGGAATTCCACCTACAATGTGGGTTAATGCAGCTCATAGAAATGGCACAAGAGTACTTGGAAATTTTATTACGGAAGGTGCACCTGGTTCTAAAGATATGGAATTATTATTAAATGGTCCAGATGGTCAAATAAATAAAGATGGATTTAGTACATTTTTTGCTGATAAATTTGGTGTGTGTGTGTGTTTAAATCTTATTTATTTTAATTAAAAATTTTTTAACTAATATTTTCACTCTATTTTTATAGTTCAAATGGCTATTTATTATAAGTTTGATGGGTGGTTTATTAATATCGAATCTAAATTACTTGGAAGAGAAAAGGCAGCACGTCAACTTATTCAATGGATGAAATATTTAACTCATGAAATGCATAAAAATGTACCAAATTCTTTGGTTATCTGGTATTTTTTTTTTTTTTTTTTTATTCAAGTGTGTATATATACATATTTAGAAATGTTTATTTACAAATTTTTTTATATCAATTGACAGGTATGACTCAATAACAACTTCGGGAGAAATAAAATATCAAAATATTTTAAATGATAAGAATTTACCTTTTTTCAATGTATGTGATGGATTATTCACCAATTATTGGTATGATAAAAATGGTCCTACAATTTCTGCAAGAGTAGCTGGTCAAAGAAATCGTGATGTCTATACTGGTATTGATGTTTATGGACGTGGAACTTATGGAGGTGGAGGATTTAATACTTTTTTGGTGATTTAATCTATAAATTCTTTTAATTTCAAGTTTAACAAAAATTTTAGTTTGATTTATTTATTTATCTATTTCATTTATTTATTTACATAAGTAGGCATTAGAAGCTATTAAAAATGGAAAAACTTCCGCAGGAATATTTGCATCAGCTTGGACTTTCTTTGAAGTTCCAGGTGATACTTTTGCAAATGATCGTTTATTTTGGGTCGGTAGTCCTCCTGGCGTTGTTCGTAAGTTATCTACCTAATATAAACTAGGTGAATGTTATTGTCACTGGTTAAACTCAAAAAAGTACTCCAAGAGGGATATCTTATGAAGAAAATTCTATGTAGAGTATTAATTAGAGTCGTTTATCGAGACATTCTGATTCTAATAGAAGTAAAATTATAAAAATCGCTTTATAGTATTAAAGTTAGATAAACATATTTTAAGAACTATTGGGCAATTTTATAATTTTTACTATTCGAACTAGAAAGTCTCTATAAACAACTTTTTTAAAAATTGAGAAGTGGCATTAACAAAAAATATATATAATGTAAAATAATAAGTGGAGATTTATTAATTAGAAAGGCGTCCCGGCGTTGCTGATTATGTTGCTCCAAAATGTACCCCTAAAAGCACAAGCTTTTACACAAATTTTTCTCTTGGAACTGGACATCAATTCTTCATCGAAGGAAAGGCATGTAATAATTACATATTAATTCTATTCATCATCATTATCACTCCATATATTTATATTTTTTTTGTTAAATATAGTCAATGATAGGACTTCAAGATTGGTTCCATTTAAGTCATCAGTCTGTTAGCCCGAACAATTTAACATTCCAACTTGTACGTCCTAACTCTTTCTGGTGGGATTACTCTTTTGACACAGCCTATAACGGTGGTACCTCATTATCTATAAATTCCAGCGGTCTATTCATTCTGCCATTTGCTAAACTTCCACTATACAAACTTTCCGTTCAAATCCCTCTACAAACGCCATTAAAACTAAGTGTTACATACCTCCCAAAGCAACCGAACATAAAATTCTCACCGTATATAAAAATAGGATCGAATTCAATTAATAATTCTGTTCAAGATCAAAATTTTATTACTTCTGAAGGAACATCTTTCCCAAATTCCGAAAATATAGTTCAAATTGAATTAGTTTCTGATTCTGGTGTCATTACATCAAAATCGCTTATTCTGACAAACACAATTCCGAGGAATAATGGTTGGATTACATCAGAGTTCACATTAACTCGTTCTATTTTTAGTAGTGGTTCTTCAAATACTTCAAGTGGGAATGTTAAAAATGATTTAGTAATTCAGGAATTTGGAATTTCTTTATATAATTTAAAAAATCCAATTTCTCATAATGTTACTAGACAATTATTGGGATACGTTGGAGAACTTTCTATCATACCTCAAAATCTAAAACCTACTATTAATACAGAGATGGTTCAAAACGTCATGTTTGAAAGAAAGTTTATTGATACACCTGATTTAGATGGTTTAAATGACGAAGTTATTTTTTTGTGGGGAATAGTTAAATGGAATGTCATGACCGTTCCTTCTGCACAAAATTCTTCCTCCTCAAATTCTGACAATAATGTAAAACTTTTAGATTCTTCTACCAAGAGCGATAAACAACAAGTATTAGAACCAGTTGTTACAAATTTAGAAAATACATTTGCATATTATAATGTTTATGTTGGATTGTCACCACCATCTCCTAATTTAAGTTCGTCTCCTGATTCAAACGAGATAACATTTTTGGGAATTTCTGACTCCACACAATTTTCAATTTCTGGTTATGGCATCATGAAAAGTGAAGTTGAAAGTGGGAATGGATTGGCAATATGGATTCAAGGGGTTTATGAAATTGATGGAAGTGGTGTTGATAAAACTAATTGGGGGATGGCATGGGTTGATTTAAAGAGTTGATGAAAATTTATATAATTTGAATTATATGTTATGAATTGTTTTATTTTTGTAAAATATTTATAATCATTTAATATTTTATATTTGGGCCTTAAGGCAATTATTGTATTTTTTTTTTTTTTATTAAATTACTTTGTTGTTATACATTATTATAACAGAAAAAGAAAAACAAAATAATTTTGCTTTACAAAAAAATAAACCATTATTTAAAATGGAAAATTACAAAGTATTCGTTTCATCTATTTTTCTAAACTTACCTTGTAACCAAATTCGATACATTTGAAGTTTACGATGTCTATTAACAATTAATCTACGATCTACAGCATTCTGTTCAAGTGTAAATTTTGTACCCCATATTGTTTGGATTTCATCTATTCATAGATATAAATATGATATTTTCGAGTTAAAGAAATTAATTTTTCGAATTATTTTTGATATTTAATTATAAAAAATATTTTTAAAACTTACCTGAAGTAAAGAAATATACACGCGTACCATCACCTCGGACGTAAAAGTTATCAGATAACATACGACCTTCCTTAAATCTTAATTGTACCATATCATACCTACCGTAATCTATATAGAAAACAAATTCATATAAATGTGTGATAATGTCTTGAAAATATTAGACCATTAGGTAATTTTGGGATATCTTTGCTGACAAAATGATTTTATAAAATATATATACTATATGTACATTTTGTTAACAAAAATACCTTATATAATACAAAAATAAAATCAATTAAATACCTCTAAACAGAACCAATCCACCAGGTTTAAGCATCTATATAATAATGATAACTTTCATCAATACTATGACAAGAAGAAATTATAAATAAAAAATATATATATAAAAACCTTGTAGACATTTTCCACAGCTTGATTCCAACATTGAGGATGAATAGCTGACATAACAAATATTAGTACAACAATATCAAGTGAACCAGGTTCAATGTTTTCCGGTATATTTGTACTGGTCAGATCCCAAACAAATGCGCAACTTTTTTGAGGATTAAATGCTGAATTATTCTAATAATAATACTATAGTTATAAATTATTTGCATAAAAAAAATGGAATTATTATTAATACGACCATTTTGAGATTACCTTTACAACATCAACAGCATTTAGAGCAAAATCACAAGCATAAATAAATAAATCAGGATTTTGATTTACAGATAATAATGGAAACATTGTATTTCCAGCTCCACACCCTATCTCAAATATTTTTTTTGGACCGACCTTTTTAAATAAAAATAATTTACAATTAATAAAAAAAAATATACTTATAAAATTAGAAACAGTAATTAGAAAATACAAACATCTAACTTTGTAGCATCGTGAAGTTCAGGGAATTCTATTTTCAACCATTGACGATCTTTAAAAAATTTGTTTTCGTTATGAAGATAAAAGGTATTCCAATATTTTGACGCATCTTGGTGATATTTTTCTGTTATTCGTAAAAAGAAAAAAATAAATCAATAAATTTCTCTTTCATAAAAGTTAAATAAACTATTGTCATATAACAAATTTATAGTTGATGGTAAAATTAATTTATGAAATTAATGTGGTTGTGGCACTGCTGTATTTTTTTTTTGTCGCAATACTACATTGCATTGTTGCAACCGCATAAATTTTATACCGTCAACTATAGCTACACTGCAAAGTTTTGACATTTCCCAAACAAAATATAGTAACATAGTCTTTCTTGAAATAATCTTTTTTGGTATTATTGTCACATGCAAAAACGATTAGACAATAATATAGTCGTCGGTAAAATTAATTTACTAAATTCCACATTGTCGAACTGCCGTAATTTAGCATTGATTGCACAATACACAATATGGGTCAGTTTGTACCGTTATAGGGCTTCGGACCTTTTTGATCAAATCTTGATGATTTGTTGGGCTATATTCTTCTATTCGTAGTACAATTTTTGTTGCGTAATATCATAATATGATTTGCTATAATTCTTGATCAAATTTTGTTTTATCTTAAATGTAAATAGTAGATCAAATTGATCATTGATTTTTAAATTTAAGCAATTGTCCCCCGAAGCCCTATAACGGTACAGACTGACCCATATAGAAATGCCTCGGAAATACTGAGAAACAATGCTGCAACGCCGCAATTTAGTAATTTTGCCGTCAAATTTACAGTGATTACTTTCAAAAAGACGGGTGCTCTAATTTCCCCCACCACTTCACAATCGGAGTAGAAAAAATTTGATTAATAATATAAATACTCCATTAAGTAGTGAATAATTAGTACAGCCAATTAGAAGCGGTGGGTAAATTAGTAAATTTCAAAAAGACATGAAGTGAAATATTCAATAAAACTCCACTACATATTTGCAGTTCTAAGTAATTGTTATAATCTTATGGCATTATGATTTCCGACATTACGGCTATGCGGCAATACGATTTTCGAATTTTGTGGCGTTTGATTTATGCCGAAATTAATTCTACAATAAGCTGCAATGCCATAATTCGATAATTCTACTATCAACTATAAACATACGTTGTTCTTCAAGGGGCATGGGTTTATTAGATTGTTTATGAACTTTTTCTCGAGCATATCTTTCTTGCTCTTCATCCCATTCTACGTTATCCCTAAAAATAAGTATTCGTATTATGTTAAAAAAAAAAAAAAAAAAAAAAAAAAAAAAAAAAAAAAAAAAAATTATGCTTATTAATAACAAATTAAAATACCAAACCAGGCATTATGATTCCAAACATGTTCCTTGTTTTCTAGAATTCGAGTTCCAAAGGTTGGTGATTCTTGACGAACATCACGAACACTAGACCAGTCTTTCTTAAGTTTAGAACGATCGATATCTTGATCTGATTGTAATGACATATTTACTTGCTGATCATTAGTTTATCTTTTTACGTTTTTTTTATATCGATATAATTTTTTTTTTTAAACTAAATTAAGTATCGGAGTTACACGAACATGTAAGAAGTTAAAAAGTAATCTTAAACATGATTATTAGTGTCACGGCTAATGCTGATGCTTGAATTTTGGGGGTCGCAATTGGAATTTATTAAACCTGCTAAAATCCACATATCGATACGTATTCTTTTATTAATAACCCTAACCCTAAAAAAAATCCTACACAAAAGGCCCTAAAAATTTTTAATAAAATAGGTCCAAAATTCAGCATCAGCCGTGACATTTAGTAACCAAAAATAAGAAAATTAACTTCTATTTTAATAACAATGGCCAACTTGATGCATTCGTTTTGAATTATTCATATCTGAAGATTTTTGATAATGACTTATTTCCATCCTTTCAACTCCAATTCCATATTCGTAAGCCAAAATATTTCGTCTGAATCATTCACATCTGCGTGAGTAATATCATCTGGGAGAGTTAATGTAATTCTTTGTAATATCTTCTTCATTGGACATGTTGGACGTAAGAAAATTTCGTAAAAAAAGAAAAAAAAGTCAAATTTTAATTTACTGTTGGCAATGTTTTTGAATATAATATCTACTATATATAGCCATTGCTAACGTTTTTATATTTGATGCTTTACTGTACCGTGTAACATTAAAACTCATACAGTTCGTTTTGCAAATCTTCTAAGATTTATACCCTTCGGGTATTCAAAGATATAGAGGTACTGCTCTTTGAAGTATGTCTACATATTAATTTTTACATAATATATATAAACTGTCAGCGAAGCGAAGCAACAGGTTAAGCACCTAAGTGCTTATTAGGGATTTATATATTGCTTGGCCAATCTCTGTAACCAATCATGTTCGGAATCAATTTGTTGATCGTGATTTTTGATTAAAGTTAATTCCGAACAAAAATCTCCAATTTGTTTATTTATTTATTTATTTAGAATGGTTAACGGTAATTTAATATATATATAACAATAACGATAAATTATTCGTTCATTTAGCTGTACATATAAAATCTAAAAATTTATTTATTTTACATATAAGCTTATGATATATGAAATAAATTGTTTTTTTTTTGTTTTTTGACATTTTACTATCGCTATTACCGGTAAAATATAAAATGGTTAATACGTATGATTTTTTAAGTTTAGTAAAATTTTACCAAAATCCGAAAAACTTCTTTTGTTGGGCTAGCAAGGTTCTATTATATAGAAATTTATATACTTTGATAAACAGATAACTATAGCAGATAGATACTATTACATTATGTTTAATGCTTTTCAATATTATTCATTAATAATGCCTGTAACTTTAATTTGAATATTTAACTTAAGTTATAATAATTA